CTAAGCCATAGAATACACTTTTTATTTTTTTAAGACAGGGTTCTCCCTGTAGCCACAGCAGGCCTGGAACTCACTTATGTAGACCAAGCTGGCCTTTATCACACATAGATATAGATTCACCTGCCTCTTGCCATCTGATTGCCCTACCTCACACTTTTTTTTTTTGAGTCAGGGCCTCCTTGTAGCCCCAGCTGTCCTGGAACTCACTATGTAGACCGGGCTGGCCTCAAACTCACAAAGATCTGCCTGCCTCTACCTCCCAAGTGCTGGGACTAAAGGTGTGCACCACCACACCCACCATCACACTTATTTTTGAGACTGAGTGCTATGTATCCCAGGTTGGCCTTGAGTTTGCTAGGCAACAGAAGATGAACTTGACTTTCTGATCCTCCTGTGTCCACCTCCTCAGAGCTGAATGGCAGGTATGTGCCAGCATGACTAGTTTATGTGGCACTGCGGACTGAATCCAGGGCTTTTTGCATGTTATATAGGCACTCTACCAACCAAGCTACATCCCCAGAGTTATTTTATGTTGTGGTATTTTATCTTGACAGGGTCTCAATAAGCAGCCCAGGCTGGCCTGGAACTCAAAACTCCCCAATTTTGGCCTTCCAAGTGCTGAGATTACAGGTGCGTGCCATCATGCCTGGCTAGGGCATGCACTTTTTAAAGTTTCATTTCCTAGACAGGGTAGCCCTGGAAGGCCTGGAACTCACAGTGTAGATTAGGCTAAACTTGAACTTGTAGTGATCCTCCTGCCTCTGCCTCCCCTGAGTGCTGAGATTTCAGGTATGCACCACCACTCAAGCCTTAGAACATGCACTTTGTATATCAGGGAAGAGTCCAGGGGCATCAACACAATTCTCAGCTGTGCAGGGTCTAAAATAAAAAATCCTCCTGCTCAGGCCACATCCCAGACCAATAGTCAAACTCCGGTCAGCTCAGCACACACCCCAGTGTGTGTCCAAATGGAAATCCAAGCCCTGTACTCTCCCAATGAGTGTTTTGTTCCTTCATCTGTGGTGACCGAGATCACCTGTTTCCTATGGACTGAAACTTGTGGTCAGGGCTCACCCTTATCTGGCCCAGTGTTTGCTCTATAATCTACCTTCATCTCTGCTGGGCTCCCAAGAGTCAGCAGTTCGTTTTCCCAAAATCCTGACTTCTTGTCTTCCCTCTCTACTACCTACCATCACTAAGAACTTAGGGTGTCCTTAGAACACCCTGTCTTCCCACGGACAAGGTCTTTGACACCATTCACCCCCAAATCTGCTATCCCAGTTGAGCTTTCTGCCCTAGGTGCCCAGCCCTGGCTGGTGGGACATCTGTTGCTGTAACAGGGAAGTCCTGTTGAGAGCAGAAGTGATGAAACAGGGAAGGTGGGTGAAGCAACACAGGCAGGCAGATACGTCCTCACCATCACACTAGCCATGTCCTGGCTCTTCCTATCTCTCCATGGGGTCCCAAGCCCCAGAACCAACCATAACTTCATTGATAAGATGTCCTGTTCTCTAGCCTTGAGTTTGGCCGTGGCCTGCCTCTCTGGAGACAGATCACCAGAGCCTACCTCAAGACCCCAAAGTAGTAAGAAAGAGTAAGGGGGACAACAGAAGGTCAGGCAGCTAGTGACAACTAGTGACTATATTAAGAGATGGGCTCGAGTCTGATGAACTGAGCTTGGGAACAGTAGCAGGCAGGACAGGAACTCAAGGAGACAGAAGTGTCTGGCAGAATCTGGGGACAGATAGGTGGTCTCCCCCTCCTTCCCTTCCTCCTCTTCCCTCCCACCTGACAGTCCCCATTTGGTGTGTCATCCGGTTCAGCAGAAGCCACAGTTGCTTCCTCAAAGCAGCAGCCTCAGCTCAGAGCCCACTCACCCCGTGGTCCATCACCCACCTGCAGCTATGGTGAGTTCATTCTCAAGCCTCAGCAGCCTATACTGGCCAGGAAGCAAGAGGTGCAATAGGTGGGAACTGGGCAGTTGGAAAGCATACTTCAAGGGTCGGGTGGCAGAAGAGAGAGAGAGAGAGCTCTGAGCACTATGGTCTTGGAAACGGAATGGCCCAGGCTCAAATCTGTAACTGCAAGGGGGGTCAGATTGGGTCTGCCTGGAGTGCCCGCCCCCTCACCCCAGATCATCAGCTGGGGGGAGAGAAGCTTTCATGTGGAGTGATTTAAGTGGGTCATGCGCCCACTACTCCCCCTCCCCCAGCCAGTCACCCAGTCACCGAAGCTGTAACACTGTTTTATCTAGCCCTGTTGGTCACCTAGGAGCCCTGGCCTCAACTCACTCAGACTAGGGGTTTCAACAGAGGCATGTCTAACCCCAGGCAGGAATTGCCTCTTTCCCAGATGCACTTCTGACGCCCTACATCTCTGAATGGGGTCCCATGGTTCTGCCTTTCCTTTCCAATCTTCTTGACGAGGTAAGAAGAGAGGTCTGGAGGCCCCTCAGAGGAGCCTGGCCTTCTTGTGCATCTACCTGTCTCTGTGACCTATGGCAAAAGGCTAGCTTTGAGGGCGCCTGGGCTGTTCTGAATGGGCCATAAATGTGCATGTGCCCAAGTGGGGAGAGAGGTCCTGTCTACTGGTCTTCATGGGAGCTGTGGATAGTGAGGCTCCCTGTGTGTCAGAGACTAAGACTTCATGCCCATATCTCAGACAGACTGAGTATATACTTGTCTCTGTGGCCCTGTACATGCTTTTATTTCTGTAAATATTTACTGAGCAGTTACTATGTGCCAGTCACTGGGAGATCACAAATGAATGATCCAAGTCCCTTTCCTGCAGGGGCTAAGGGAGCTAGCCATATGTGTATATATATGTTCATGTGTGTAGGTCAATAACTCTCCACATTATTCTTTTGTTTGCTTACCTTTTGAGACAAGAGTCTATGTATCTATGACTGGCCTGGAACTCATTATGTAGATCAGGCTGGCCTGGATCTCACAAATATCCTGCCTCTGCCTCCCAAGTGCAGGGATTAAAAGCATGTGCCATCACATCTGGCTTTTTCCACTTTATTTTTTAAGACCTAGAGTTTGCTGATTTAGCTGGCCAGAAGCCCTAAAAATCCTCTCTGCCACTCCAGTGCTGGGATTACAGGTGCTGCTCTGGACTCTTTATACATGAATGCTGAGGCTAGATCTCAGGCACTGAGTGCTTGCATAGCAAGCACTCTAGTCACTTAGCAATCTCCCCATTGCCCCAAAACAAAATTTAACAATTCAAACTGGGTATGGTGGTACATACCTATAATTCCAGCATTCAAGGGCTGGAGAGATAGCTCAGGGGTTAAGAGCACTGGCTGCTCTTTTAGAGGACCTGGGATCAAATCCCAGCACCCACATGTGGCTAACAACTGTTGGTAACTCCAGTTCCAGGGGATCTGATGTACTCTTCTGAACTCCTTGGGCATTGCGAGACACAAGTGCACTTACATGCATGCAGACAATACACTCATACACATAAAAAAAATAATTTCCCAGCATTCAGAAGGCTGAAGTAGGATTGGAAATTTCAGACAAGACCGAGCTACACAGTGAGACCCTGTCTCAAAAACAACGCTAGGTATAGTGATACATGCCTATAATCCCACCACATGGGAAGTAGAAGAAGGAGGATCAGGAGTTCAAGGTCATCCTTTGCTATAGAGCAAGTTTGAGGTCAGACTGTTATACGGGAGACCCTGAACCAAAGGAACAAAACAAAACAAAAACCAAGTCAATGGGGATGAGGGTAGGTGTGGCTCAGTGATAAGAATGCTTACCTAGCAAGGCGCTGGGTTCCATTCCCAACACTGCAAAAACACAAAACCAAAGAACAACCCAGTCAAGACATTAAAGTAAAACCAATATAAGATGTTTGATGGGTGGTAAGAGTTATGTGAGCTAGTGAGAGTGGGCAACTGGAGAGGTAAGATTGACTTAAAAGAGTTGTGAGTTGGAGAACTGGCTCAGCAGGTAAGAGCACCGGCTGCTCTTGCAGAGGACCCAGGTTCGGTTCCCAGCACCCACATGGCACCTAACAACCATCTGTAACTCCAGTTCCACAGGATCTGACACCCTCTTCTGGTCTCCTTAGGCACTGGAGAACATGGGTGTATTTACATACATGCAGGTAAAACATTCATACACATAAAAAATAAATATAAAAACATTAAAAAAATGCAGAGTTGTCTTAGAAGGTCTCTTTTAATGAGATACTATGCTAGAGACCTGGAAGAGGAGAGATCCATGCAATTTGTCTCAGAAGGTCTCTTTTAATGAGATACTATGCTAGAGACCCAGAAGAGGAGAGACCCACACAATGAGGGGTACGTACTGCAGACAGGGCACGGGGGAGGGGGGGAGTCATTCAGAATGAATGGGTCATTTACTGTTTGCTGTCCCTGGAGAGATGAGGGATCACTAAGGGAGTGGGACAGAGGCTTGGCAGATCTCCTCCAGCTGCTGCAGAGGCTTGGGGGCCAGGGGCAGCAGACCATGGAGGAGATGAGCCAGTTACAGTAATCTGGGCAGTGGAGGACAGTTCCTCCACTGGGGTAACAGTGGTGAAGGCAGTGAGAAGTGGTTGGATTCCGGATGTATTTTGAAACTGGAACAGAAAGGACTGGGGAGAACTTGGTGGCCAGGCCAGGTGTGTGTGGAGGGGAGCAAGGGGTTGGGATGTAGTAGAAGGCTAAAGGCTTGAGGATGCTGGGAAGGTATCGCTGACTGGGAAGAAACGTAGGCAGAGAAGTCAGGAGGGCGTGGCTTCCAGAAGCCTGGGGACAAAGGATAGTTCTTGGCCAAAAAGCAGCTGTGGGTGGGAGAGCTGGCTCATAGGTTATACAGAGGACCCAGGTTCAGTTCCCAGAACCCTATGGAGGCTAACGACTATCTGTATCTCCAGTTCCAGGGGATCTGACACCATTTTGGCTTCCACAGGCATTGCATGACATGGGCGCACTTAACATACATGCAGGCAAAATAAGTCATACGCAAAATTTTTTTAAAAAGAAGCCGGTTGGCCGGGCATGGTGGCACACGCCTTTAATCCCAGCACTCGGGAGGCAGAGGCAGGCAGATCTCTGTGAGTTCAAGGCCTGCCTGGTCTACATAGTGAGTTCCATAGTGAGCTGGGGCTACAGAGAGACCCTGTCTCAAAAAGACCAAAAAAAGAAGCTGGCTAAGGTCCAGATGAGGTTGGAGAAGAGGCAATTGCAGAATAGGAGACTAAGGGAAGGGGACAGTTGATGGGTTTGTGTGTCTATAACCAAATGTGTGTGGGCCTGAGTGTATATATGTGCACTGCATGCATGTAGGTGCCTGTGATGGCTGGAATAGGGCATCAGAGCCTCTAGAACTGGAGTTACAGGTGGTCGTGAGCTGTCCAATATGGGTGCTGAGAACTAAACATGCATCCTCTCCACGAACAGCCAGTGCTCTTAACCACTGAGCCATCTCTCCAGCCCCCTCCTTCTGCCTTCCGTCTTTTTGAAACCTTGCCTAAACGATATGATCCACATCCTCCTAGGAGAGCCACCAGGACTTCCGAAGCCTCCAAGCCAAGTTCCAGGCCTCTCAGTCACAGTCTGGCGAACTCCCCAGAAAACCCCCCAAACCTGAGTTCAACAAAAACATGAAGCCTCCACAGCCCCAGTTGGGTGAGCAGCCCAGTAAGTCACTGCCACCTGAGGTCATCGCAGTGTCCTTGAAGCCCCTGCAGCTCCAGGTTTCTGATCTCTCCAAGAAACCCCTGCAGCCTGAGTTCACAGACCTGAAGTTCACACAGCCAGAGGTTGCTGGTTTCCCCAAGAAGCCCCCAAAGCCTGAGTTCACTGATCTCCCCAAGAAGCCCTCCGAGTCTGAGCCCACAGATCTCCCAAGGAAGTCCCCCAAGCCCCAGTTTGCTAGGCTCCCCAAGAAGCCCCCCAAACCTGAGTTTGGTGAACTCTCCAAGAAGTCCCCACAGCTTGAGATACCTCAGAAGGTCTTGCAGCAGGAGCCCCTGAAGCCCAACCTCAGCAACCCTACCAGGACCCCTTTAGAACTCAAACCCAGTGCACTCCCCAAGTTCTTGCAGCCTGAGTACAGTGAGGCCCCTCTGGGGCCCTCGCAGTTTGAGTTTCCCAAGAAGCCACCGCAGCCTCAGGCTGGTAGCTTCCCTAGAAAGTCCCTGACACAGGCTGAGTCCAGCAAGTTTCCTCAGACAACCTGCTCCAAGTCCGAGTCCAGTGAGCCCTACCCCCACACCCCGAAGCCTGACTTCTGTACCCGTCCCACAAAGTCTCCACAGTGTGAGTTCAATGAGAACCTCAGGAAGACCCAGCAGACTCCCCCTAAGTCCCCACAGCAACCTGAGTTATATGAAGTCCCTCAGACGCCTCCTTGGAAGTCTGAGTCCTGTGACCCCCAACCTCACTCCCCACAGCCGGGCTTCAGTGCATTTCCCAAGAAGCATTCACAACTCCAGCTAAGTGACCTTACTAGGACATCCTCAGAGCCTGAAGTCTGCACGGTTCCCAAGAGGCCACGGCAGCCTGAGTTCAAGGTGTTTTCCAAGAAGCCCCTGCAGCCTGAGCTGGGTCACCTCCCCAGGACATCCTCAGAGCCTGAGTTTGGCTTGCTCCCCAGGAAGTTTTTGCAGCCTGAGAGGCAGGGAAAACCCCGCAAGCTCTCCCAGCCTGAGCTCAAGAAGACCCTGCATCCAGAGTTCAAGGGTCTTCCTAGAAAACCCCAGCTTCCTGGCTCAGTTTCTGAGAGCTCCCTGCCCACTGCCATCACAGGCTCCAGCCCTAGGTTTGGAGCTACTGGGAGACCCCGCTGGAGGTCAGAAGACTTCCATGTCCCGCACCCACCCCAGCGGAGGCCTCTGCCGTCAGTCAGCAGTCTGGGATCTCCCCCAGTCAAGCCCCCACTTCCCCCAGGCCCCATCAATATCCAGAGCTTCCGGAGAGCTTCAGCAGGAACCACAGGTGAGTCAGGAGGGGCAGCTCAGGCTGAGAGGAAGGGCCTGAAGTTGAGAGGCAGGGCCACTTCCCTCCTGTTTTCTCCCCACAGCTGTGCAGAGGACCGGTTTGTCTGCTGGGACCCACTTCCAAGCCCAACGTCCTCAGCACATCCTTCAGTGAGTGTGGTGAGGAAGGGGCCAGGCATGGGTGGAAGCTGAAAGAGGCCTTCACCTAAGATATCCCTGCAGGGACTCAGATGAGATCTATGAGCTGTATGATGATGTGGAGCTCACAGATGACTCCAGTCCCAGCCCCAGGGGAAGAGGTATGTAGGTGGTTGGCCTGGGTACCTGTGAAGCATTTTCACTCACATTCCTGGTTTGAGACCACAAAATAATCCAGCTGGATGCTGGTGGGCTGAATGGTGAGGAAGGGGACGAACCGAGGCAACCAGTCCAGGTACAAGGTTGCTGTAGGCAGCAGAGGACAGGTGGTGATGGAGGCCTAGACACAGTGAAGAATCGCAGAGATCAAAGGTGGCAAACTACTTGGTGGGTAGGGGCATGAGGTTGGTAGGCTGTAGCCTAGAGCTTCCGTGCAGAGGAGTCACAGCAGGATTGTGGGCAAGGCACCAGGTTCCCAAGTGGCAAAGACCTATAAACCCAACTTGGGAGGAAGAGATGAGATCAATTCAGGGCCCTCTCTGATGACAGCAGGCTCAAGCCCAGCTTGGGCTCTGGGACCCTCTTGCTTAAAAAAATAAATAAAACCCCATCCACCAGGTTCCCTAAAGCTGTGTTCCAGGCATGGAGATGTCCCAGCAGGACACAGGCCTGGAATCAGGAGAGGTATGGGCTGGAGGCAGATGTAACAGCAGAAGGCCCCTTTCCTTAAGTCAGTTCCTAGAGGGACAAAGGGGAGGCAGAGCAGGTTTGAGCCTCCAGGCTGGCGCTAGGGTTGGTGCCTCAACAATCAAGACTACGGTTTCCGTGACAGAATCTCACTTGATTCTGCCTTCACCAAGGCAGTATCACCCCCATATCACCAACTAAGGTGGAGGCTCCGAAACAGCTTAGCTAACCGCTAATTCACAGTGGGACTCCAGCCAAATTCCCTGCTCCCTGACTGCTCCTTGCCTTTCTGGCAGGCAGTCTGGCCTTGGGATCGCTCCTGCTCTCCTCATTCCAGCTGGAAGTCCTGGCACAAATTCTCCAGCCCTTGTTCCTTCCTGGGCCCCTTCTGCTTCTCCTTGGGCCTGTGGGAGCTGCTTGCAACAGCTCTTTCAGCACAGTTTCCTGACAGGGTCCCTCCTGCTTCCACTGAGGGGAAGCCTCTGTAGCTTGGGTCTGGGCGTTGCCAGCTTTGGAGAAAGAGGCTGGTCAGACGGTTTCCAGAACAAGGACCTCTTCTTAAACAAAACAGATCACATCCCCTCCTTCACACACTACACCCTGTAACCTCCTCCCCAGTTCTGTCCATTCTCCAAGACCACAATCAAGTACCAAACGTCCCTGAGTTTCTCGCTTGGTAAGAAAATGTGTGGGCCTTCCTGTGGTACAGATCTTCTCTCAAAAGCTGCTTTGAGCTTTGTAGACCAATCTTGCTAATACCAGGGTGGCCTGGGATTACCAGCTCCTCCCTCCTACTGTGACCTCCTTCAGAGCAGTGGAAGCTCCACTAGAGGCCTTTTTTTGACAGCTAGAAACCCACCTTGTATGGCAGGGTCAGTCTTTCTAGGCTATGAACAGACCCACAGGGGCTTTGAGTGGTCTGCTCAGAATAAACTGGACAACCTAGGGTCCACAGAATCCAGCAGTGGCACAGTCAAGTTTGCTCTTAGCTGGGGGACCACCCAGGGCTGAAGAAGCCCTTGGGAAAAGCAGGTGCAGTGGAGGTCAAGCTCAACACTAAGTTGTATGATGGAGATGCCCCTCAGTGGGATGCTGTGAGAAAGGACAGCTTGACTGAAATGTGCAAAAAAACCAGGGGGCCTCCAATTCAGGCCCTCACTCATCCAGGCTTCCAGAAGCCATTGTTGCCATCCAAACCCTCAGCCAACAGGACTCATACTGGAAGCCTGACCCACTGCTGGGAAGTAGTACAGCCCTCACTCTGGGAAACCCTGCTGTCTAGTCTTAGCAGCAGAAGGGCCAGATCAAGAATACCCTAGTGGCACTTATCTTTCTAAATCCAAAGCTGTGTGTGTGATATACCAGCATCTGTGTAGCTTTGGTTAGCTTGGAACTTACTATGTAGACCTCAAACAAAGATCCACCCGCCTCTGCCTCCAGAGTGCTAGGATTAAAGTTGTGTGTCACCATAGCCGACCTGAATCCCACATCTTATATGACAACCCCCCCACCTGTTCTGTCAGGCAGAAACAAAATGGCCTCAAAAGCATACAAATCCATCCTACCTCTATCATCTTACTAGTGGGGTGGTCCTAGACAACTGACCAACTAACTTCTCAGCAAATCTTCCCCAGCAAAGTCAATCCATTAAAACTGAGAAGCCCTAAGGGTAAGGCCCAGGGAGAAGAGTGGTCAAGATTCAGGGATGCCTGGGGCTGGAGAGCTGGTTCAGTGGTTAAGAACACTGGCTGTTTGCAGAGGACTTGAGTTTGGTTCCCAGCACCCATGTGGTGGCTAACAACCATCCTTAACTCCAGTTCCAGGCAATCTAAAACCTTCTGGCCTCTACAGGCACTGCACACACGATACACTTACCTACATGCAGGCAAAACATTCATACACATAAAATAAATAATAAACAGATTCAGGGAGGATGAGAACCTGCACAGGGCAGGTTCTCTCCAGATTAAGTCACCAGGGTAAAGCTAGGCAGAGGTGGGGGGGGGGGGTCCTTGTCCTGACTCAGTATTCAATGCCCCCAGATGAAGTGCAGTCCACCCAACAAGTCACCAGGAGGCTGCAGCAGGATTCAGAACTTAGGTAGGCAAAGGGGTTGTGATGGGGCAGGGCTGAGCTCTAAGTCTGATAAGGGGCACTTCTTGCTCACAATGTCTGGGGGTTCCAGGAAGGAAAAGGCCACTCAGGCACAGCAGTTGCCACCCACAGACCCCAAGTTGTTGAAGCAGATCAGGAAGGCAGAGAAAGCTGAAAGAGAGTTCCGGAAGAAGTTCAAGGTAAGGGCACTGAACCCACCAAGAGTCTTGGGAAGACTGGGACCAGAGTCCCAGGATTGGATAATCCTGAGGTGGTTATCTAGGGTGACATCATAAGCCCAAGGACCTAACAACATGTCCCCCCAGTTTGAAGGGGAGATTGTAATTCATACAAGAATGATGATTGACCCCAATGCAAAGGCCAGGCGTGGGGGCGGCAAGCACCTGGGCATCCGGCGTGGAGAGATCCTGGAGGTGATTGAGTTCACTAGCAAGGATGAGATGCTGTGCCGGGACCCCAAGGGCAAGTGTAAGTATGGTTGGCCCACACCAAGGGAAGGGAGTGTGGAGTACTGGGGCTGAGAATCTAATCTACGTGCTCTCTCCCAGATGGCTATGTACCCAGAACGGCACTGCTGCCTCTGTGAGTGTTGGTCCTGCCTGGGTAGGGGTGGGAACCACAAGGGTGGCTTCCTCTGACCACACTATGCTCTCTGCCAGGGAAACGGAAGTGTATGACGATGTTGGCTTCTGGGGTATGTACAGTAACATCCATGGAGCTGTTTGCTATCGTGCCTTGAGGTAATGGGGTCACTCAGAAGTCATCCTTTCTTACAGATCCTCTGGACTACCAACCATTTCCATAAGGTGGGTCTCAGAACAGCCCACCAGCCCAGCCACTGCTCACTAGAGAGCCCTGGACGCCAGCCTGACGAAGAGAGCTGCCCAGGTGCACATATGCTCATATAAAGCCCCCATTTAAAACATCCCTGCTTCTTGTCTTTTTCTTTCCACAGTAAAACACAGGCACCAAAGGTGAGGGGGTAGAGTGGCCAAAGAAAGTAGTAAGCACTGCTCAATAGGAAGGGAGCTAGAGTGCAGGATGCACCCCATACTCGAATGTATACCCTCACACCCAGGACAACTGGTAGCTGAACCCCTAACTCTGCAGGCTGCCAACATCTGTCTTTGCTCAGTTAAGTCGATGGCAGCCCTACATTGGTGGGTGGGACTCCTCCTAACAGGATCTCAGTATCAAGTGTGTGCTAAGCCTGGCATCATCTTAGTTGGCTTGAGCAGAGAAAAGCCCAAGCGTAGTGAGCCAGCTACATTGTCTATGCTCCTGAGAATAAAGCCACAGGAGCAGACAGGATGGCTTTCAGGATACTGTAAAATAGTCTATTTTCATTCCTGGGAAATGAAGACCTTTTAGAATGAAATTTCTATACTATAGTGTCCCTAACCCCTGACCCCTAGGGCCCAAAGACAAGGATTAATGGAGTGCAATACCCGAGGAAGGGAGGAAGCCCCAAGTCACTGTCGCTTCCCAAACCTCAGAAGGCCACCCCCACAACATACACACAAAGGCAAGCCAACTTTCAGGAACTGGTATTTATTATCAAAGTCATATTTGATGTCAACAAGATGCCACAACTACAAAAAAAATTGCGCACATTGCAATCTCAATGCAAACAGTCAAATGGAACCCCAGTCATTAAAAAAGTAATTCAAATTACCCCAAAAAGCAACTGAATTTTTTAAACATCTTTATACATCCAGCCAACAAATTAAAATGGTTAACAAGAAAAAATACAAATTCAGAGGTCTGGTATTGATGTTTAAAAAAGGCAACTGCCTAAGCATTTCTATCGATCCGAACATCAATCTCTCGGCCACTCAGCTTCATGCCATTCATCATCCGGCAGGCTCTCTCAGCCACCTCTGGAGACTCAAACTTAACCACACCGCACCCCTTGGACTTTCCATTCTCCATCTTGATGTCGGCGTACAGCACGTGGCCTGGCACAGGGAGGGAAGAAGAGACCACACGTGTCAGGCAAACCCAGAGCTCAGCCTCAGTCTAGGCTCCACTCAGTCCAGATCACCTGTTGGATTTCGGTGACAGAGTCAAAAAGGAGAGAGGCCCTTGCAGGTGAAGCGCGAATGCTCAACACCGAGTATGGCACCAGCAACTACGGCCACTTCCACCACATTTGCCATTGTTCTCCAAACAGTACAACAGCCTGACCTGCTGTGAAAAGCCTGCCAAGTGGCTTCAAGTGCTTGCCATTATGCTCCAGGGAGCTCCAAAAAGAAGAGAGCCATGTGAGGTCAACTTTAGATTCAAATTCTAGAGACCCAATTGTTCCAGTGCCACCATCCCATCACAAAATCATTAGCAATACAACTGACACATTTATACTGTCCTGTGTAAACCAGGTATAATTAGTGCACAGCTTACACATATTCATTCAAGCACTCATTAAGCACCAAGGTATGTGTCAAGCACTGTGGAAATGGGCCTATAATAGGCTAAGAACCATAGAGGTCAAGGCTCTACTCCAGTGATGGCCAAGGACAGAACAGTGCTGTCATGACCCACAATTTTAGAGCCACCACCAGCCTGCAAAGAGATGACACTCCAGGGACTTCTCACAATACAGTTCCAAAACAGATTATGTAGAAATTCACCATAATAAAGATTCTTGCCAGGGCAAGGCAAAGTGGCACACGCCTGCAATTTCAGCCTTGGGAAGGTGAAACAGGATTACTGAAGTTCTTGCCAGTCTCCAGCTACATGGCAAGACCTAGGCGTAAAAGAAGGGAAGCACAGTTCACAAAAGAGGAAAAGGCAAAAGGAACAGGAAGGAGAAAAGCTCCTGTAATTCCAAACCTGGGGAGGCGGGGGTGGGGGGTTAGGAGGCTCAATCAAGAGTTCAAGGTCACTGGGGATATAGCTCAGTTGGTAGAGGGCTTGCCTAGCACACACAAAGCCCTGGGATCCATCTGCAGCACTGCACAGACTGGCTGTGGTAGTGCACACCTGTAATCTAGGACTCAGGAAGGCAGAGGAAGGAGGACCAGAAGTTCAAGGTTATCCTCTGCTGCATTATGATTTTGTTTTTTGAGACAGGGTCTCCCTGTAGCCCCAGCTGGTCTCAATCTACTTGCCTCCATGTCTGGCTCTACACAATGATTTTAAGGACTCTAGGTTACATGAAGGCCCGTCTCAAAAAATTATTAAAGAACTCAAGGCCGCCATTCTTGGCTATATACTGTTTGGGGACAACATGCAACCTGCAATCCTACCTCAAAAAGAAAAGAGAAAGGAAAGGAAGAGGAAAGGATGAACAGAAAAGAAAGGAAGAACGACTTCTGCCAGCAAAGCATTTTGGAGGAAAATCACTTGGGGCTTAGGTTCAAGGGCAGGAGGGAGATGGAATCAAGTTTCAAGCTTTTGAGCTTGCATTTTCTGAGAGGCAGGGAGAGTGGCATGTTTCAACCGGATTGTTTGAATATCTAGTTACAATGCACAATGATGTGGAAAATACAATGGGAAAGAAGCAGAAAACCAGACAAGAAGGGTGGGCAAAGAATCAGGGAAAATCACCATGAGGGCTCAAACGTGAGCCACACCTGACCTAGAAACAGGAACCCCAATCCTGCAGATCTTGGTTTAGGGTCTGGAGAGACAGCTGAAATACACTGCAGTGGTATAAAGAGGGCAGGGGAAGATCTCAGAGATTTTCATCCCGCAGTGCCCAGACTTAAATAAATCTTACCCATGGCACAGAACCAGTTGTGGGCTTGGGGGGGGAGAAGCAACCTGTCTTGGGTCGCTTGTTTTGGTTTTGCCTATTAAAAGTTGTGTAACCTTAAGAGATTAAGAATCAGCTTTGCAGATTCATATGTAAAAAGGGGATGACAGACTCCTTTCAAAAGCTCTAGGAAGCAGGGAGTGGTGGCACAGTCCTCTAATTCCAGCACACAGAAAAGGCTGAGGCAAGAGGATCATGAATTCAAGGCTAGGTTATATAGCCTTTTTTTCAAAAAACTAAAGAAGAAAAACCACTAACAATGGAGGGGGAAAAAAAAAAGCACACAACATGACACCTACCAGGACACCAAATGTCTGCTTGAGTACCTGCAGAGGCAGAACAATGGCAAGGCCCACTGGTGCTCTAGAGCCCATGGACAGTGGTTGTTACAACTAGGAAGGAAGCTTCATTGCTCCAACTCAATAGCATCACCAACAAGCCACAACACGAAAGCAACTAGAGAGCCTTTCTCAGACAGACACTTACCACATTCGTTGAATTTGTCTTTTAGCATCTTCCATGTAAAATCAAATGGGAGCTGAAGGAAAAATAGGCAAATTAATGTATGATGCAATCAAGTCTTGAGGTACAGATATCCAACAACTTGCAATCAGCAGGAAGCACACGTCTATCTAGAATTAGTTTATAAAGTGGTGCAATGAGTGGCACAGGGAATGCCCCGTGGCTCTAACTCTTGCCATGCTTTAAGGGAGCAAAGCAGAAATCCTTAACTCAGAGACCAAGCATGGCCATCTTTCTCTCCATCATTGTGCCCCATCACAGGAAAGTGCCAGACCACTGTCCTTGCTGTAAGCCCTCATACTCCTTCCTCAACCTCCAGCCCCACTAGGGACAGGGGCAAGTTGTACCCTGCAAGCTGCCCAGTTCTTCCTTCAACAGACCTCTCTACATCACTCAGTCCACTGACCTCCCCAGAATCCCTCCACAGTAACACCAACGAGTTCCTGAAAAAGCACTTACATTTCTCACAAATATCTGACAAGCCTTCCTGGCCACTCCAGGAGCATGGCCTCCAGCTCCACCAAAGGAACCCGCGAAGCTTCCTCCAAAGTTGCCCCGTTCCATCTCAATGGCGCGGTCAAAGCTAGCACCGCCAGCGCCACCCATGGCCAGGCCCATGCGCTCGATGCCAGCACCTAAGGCTGGACCCATGGCTGGACCCATGCGCTCGAGGCTGTTGGCGCCCATTCGCTCAAGGCCCATGCGCTCAAGACTGTTGGCTCCCATGCGCTCGAGGCCCATGCGCTCCAGGTTGTTGGCGCCCATGCGCTCCAGGCCAGTGGCCATGCGATCCATCACAGGGCCCATGCGCTCCAGGCCGGCCCCCATGCCTGCTGGCACCATGCGATCCATGCTCAGGCCCATGCGCTCGATGGCAGGGCCCATGCGCTCCACGCCAGAGCCCATACGCTCAATGGTTTGGCCCACTCGGTCAATTGGAGTGGCCATGCGCTCCAGGCCAAAGCCCATGCCGGCGCCCATGCGCTCAACACCAGAGCCAATGCGCTCCATGGTCTGGCCCATGCGCTCAATGCTGGAGGCCATGTGGTCAAGGCCCAATGGGCCCATGCGCTCGATGCCAGAGCCCATGCGCTCAACTGAGCCCATGCGGTCCATGACCAGGCCCATGCGCTCAATCTCAGAGCCCACACGATCCATGCCGTGGCCTAGGCCTGCGCCCATGCGCTCCATGCCAGCACCGCCAATGCGGTCAATGCCAGGGCCCATTCTCTCGATCCCAGGAACAGTGCCTCCAGCTCCACCTGAAACAGGGACAAAAACCACAGGTGGAAGTCAGGGATTTGTGCATTTATGTACATGCCATGCAATGCCAGGACACTCTGGCTCATAAGCTCAACCACAGATCAAAAGTTCATCCCCTAAGTGATTTATTATTAAGGCAATTCTCAAATGTTGACAACTATTGAAGACAGGTAATAAGTGGACTGGGTCCCTATAATCATCTTCCCATTCTGGTGAATATCCATTAGGAGATTCAGAAGGAGTAAAACTCCACCTTCATGTTG